TGGGCACAAACAAAGAGCGATTCCTGGCAAGCTTCTAGGTGAGAGGGGTACGAGAATAAATCGAACGCACCGGAACGAGAGAAATCCGAGGGTTGTATGGATATGAGACTATACAGTCAACGATAACTTAAAAGAATTAATTGAAGTACTCATGCTAATAAGATGCTTCTATCATTTCGGTTGTCTATCCCAAGAGGATTCCAATGTTAAGTATGCTAGCTTGCTCTAGAGTAGTCTTTGGATGAGTGATCTCCTGAGAAGTACTTTTCGGAATATGTGCGAGTGAGAATAAAACACACTAAAAGATCTCGTGTTGGTGTGTGAAGGCAGTTCCAACGTTCCGTAGTGATCTCAGAGCGTTACAAAAGTTTTATAATATGTCCCCGAGCTCTTTCATCTTATTGGAAGATATTTGAAAATCTAAAATATTTTGGAATATATTACTACGAAGATACCATCAAATTATACATATATTACCATGTGTTTACAAATACATATATTTAGGATATTTATATTGATTTTGTTAGAATTACATATTTCGAAACTAAATTCTATATAAAAGTACGTTGTTTTGGTTATTATATGGCATAATACTTATTTATGTAAATATTTTCACATCTCGTATGGATATAGATCAGATGCGCGGTAGTGTGACATCCCGCGTACTGATGAGGGTAGAGGATGTTTCGCCAGTGCGAAAGGATACGTACAAGGAATGACTCTTGAGACGAATCGAATATCGAAATGAGAGGAATTCGAGGGTTGTGTGGGTATGAGATTAATAGAGGGTGAAAAGCAAGAGATTTGTTAATTTGTTCCACAATTTACAAGAATTTATGTATATTATATATATGTATAAAAATTATATTATTATAAACATGTGTATATATATGTATTAATGTTTTGTTCTTATAAAAGCCTTAGACAAGGTGGATGACTATTTATTAAAGTTTTAGGGTTAAACGAGTTTGAGTTGTAGTTAATGAGGGTGAGTAACTTCTTATAAAATTGGGTATAAGGTATAGTTCGTGGTTCAGATCGAGGTTTTGATATTTTGTTGAAAATTTTCGGATCCAAATCCATTTTATAAACGTTGGAATTTCTGACGGATTGTAGTTGAAAAATCCGTTGATATTTTTTCAAACGAAAATATCAGTTGAAATTTTCATTCATTTTCAAAGGCCGTGTTAGAACGGATTTTATCAGTTGGAATTATGTTAAAATTATTAAATTCTAACGGATTTATCGGTTGAAAATACTATGTTTTTTTTAGAGTATAAGATACCAAAGAATGAAAAAAAAAATGTGAAACTAACGCAGGTTTTACGAAACGTGCAGAATACACGTTCGTTAGGAGAGAAAATGCCACGTGTCGAATATCAGTGGTGTTGAATCGATGTGAAGTGACACGTTTCAAGATCTGATCCATACAAAATATGTTTAAATGTTTGTTTTGGACGTTTCTTGATGAATGGATGGTTGAAAATAATCTAAATATAGCAACTGCCAACAGTGTGGCAAATATACATTATAGAAAAAGGTGGCTAAATTGGCTGAAAATTTAAGATTCCAATAACAAAAATAATGATGATAAAATCGATGTTAGTTTTTAGAAAATTATTATGAAATGTTTAGAAATTTATTTGAAGAATAAAATAATATGGTGCCGTTTTAAATCAGTGATAATTATATATCTCAATCATTGTATATGTAACATGCATTTATTCTTTTTCATGTTATTGGATTTAAGTCGGAGTTCTAGAATGGAATGAAATATTTTAATTGAGACAAGTTTTATAGCACGTGCAATAATTAGGAGCATAGTGAACCTTTTTTTTTGACAAATCATATTTTTGAATTTGCAATTTATTTTGTCTTTTATAATGATATCGTTCTATAACTTTTTGTTCTCCTTTTTAGAATAATATCGTTTCATAAATTTTTCTCCTTTTTTTTAAATTTTTTTTATTTTAAACCATATGTCGTGCCATGCAAAAATAATATGAATATTATAAACTATTTAAAAAATGGTTGAAGAGTAGATGAACAACAAACTTATAACTAATTTATCTTTATCTTAAATGTATTTGAATGAATTAATTCAAATCAGGAAAATTAAAATTTTAATCAATCGATTATTAATTAATCAATTAGTTAGAAGAATGTTAGTTTTGTACCAAATTTGTTTGAAATCAACAAAAGATATGGAGAGGCAAATGAGACAATGGAGAATACAACCGTTTTGTGGGGTTATTTAATAATCCTAACAACGTAGCCTCTTTACTTAGCCTATTTCAAAATATGTATAGCGATGTTCACGTTTCTTTGCCCTTTAATTTTGCCAACTTGAAAAGGAAAAGCCGTTGTTCTGTTTCCATAAATGTCATTTCATTATAAAATTTCTTTTCGCAGCACATTTTAATTAGAGATGTCAATTTGGGCCCGAGACCCGAAGTCCTGGCCCGGCCCAACCCAAAAAATAGCGGGTTTCCGGCCAAAATTTTTTGGTCCGAAAAAAATCGGGCTTTCGGGCCGGGCTCAAATCGGGTTTCGGGCTCGAGTCGGGCCGGTCCGAAAGCCCGAAAATTTTAAAAAGAAAAAAAAATATTTACAAAAGAAAGCCCGCAGGCCGGTCCGGCCCGACCCGAGCCCGGAATGCATAGGGTTGGGCTTCGGACTTAATTATATAGGTCCGAAAAAATTGGGTCGGCCCGAGTTCGAGCTTGAAACTTCCGGGCCGAGTGCGGGCTCGGACCGACCCAATTGACACCCTTAATTTTAATATCTCAAATTTTCCATCATTTTTATATTCCTCTCAAATATATGAATAAAACAAATAATATTATCTTACACATTAAGTGTTGTTTTGTACTAATACAGTATATTTTCTATCGATTTAGATGAAAATATAAATACACAGTTTTAAACTGTACCAAGATACTTCGTAATTAAAATGATAAAAAATTTATATATTTGGTAAATATCTCAGTGGAGATAATTCCTAACACTCAATTTGCCAAGGAAATTAGCAACAAATTTTTTTGTTGTCTTTTAAGTGAGAGAATATCACATGACCGCCGACTATTTCATCGTATATGAAATGATAATTTCTCCATATATTTTTTTCATTCGCGGAACATGTTTGTACCAACACCCGTTTTTTTATAATTCGGAAGTTTCTCACACTTTCAATTCGACTACATCTTCTAGAATCCGAAAGCAGTTTGTTTTAGCATCATTTCTTATGTTAGATACTATAGAGACATCATGTATTAGGACTCAAATAAAAGCATTACCTGAGATTCTAATCATGACTTAGATCCATGTGGCAATCTCATACGGGTCATCTTGTATTCATTCACAAATGAATACTCAAGATAATGATCCATATCTAATATGCTATAATCGTCCCCATGATGATTCATCATACCTCATGTTAATCTTAATTCGTCAATGTTTCCACATTAACGATTGACTATGGAGTTTAGTATTATTATAATAACAATATATGGATAACATTATTAAACAATAATATGACATTTGAATAATAACGATAGACAAAATTAGCTTCTATTCATTCCAACTAATTCAAATACAATGACAAAGTGTTTGTGCAATCAATCATGTCCAGAGCTTCCATTCTAACAATCTAACAATCTTTTATTTATCTTAATCATGATCAACTAACTGTCTAATCTCATCGACTTAACATGATACTCATATTTCAACGATGAGAGATGCTTCTTCAATGGATCAATGATGTTATCATCTGTTTGTACTTTGTATATAATTACATCTCATCTGTTTATGATTTTCCATAGTGCGATGGATCATTTGAGTATGTGTTTGGATCTTTGATATAACATTGGTTCCTTATTTTGTGCAATCACACTATTGTACAATACAATGAAATAGGATTCGTAATACTAGATACAACATCTAGGTCCCCAACAAATTTTTTGATTCATACAGTCTCCTTTGTTGCGTCTGATGCAACAATATATTCAGTCTCTATAGTGGAATCAACGACGATCGCCTGTTTTGATTTTTTCCAACTAACAGCACATCCATTCAAAAGAATCACGAAACTTAATTGCGATAAAAAATCATTCACATTAGACTTAAAACTAGCGTCAATATAACTAATTATAATGAGTTTATTTTTATGTACACTGCATACTAAAAATATGTCTTTAGTCCTTCTCAAATATGTTCGGATGTTCTTTATGGTTATCTAGTGTAGTTCATCTGGATCGGATTGGTACCTGCTGGTCATCTAATAGATTTGAAATGGATTGAAATGGTAAGTTGGGTAAGAAAGGGGAAACTTTCTAATTTTCCAAACTGTGTATAAAGGTCGAGAAGGGAAACCAAAGTAAATATGTATTCTCTTTATTAGTCTTTAAGAATTCAATCTTGAGTTGTTGGTGCTCTATCTTCTTTATTTTTTTATAATATGGAAATTCATCGGACCGTTGATCCAACTATATCTTCTAGAGAATCGAAAAAATCCAGATGAATATCCATGATAAAAGTATATTTTATATATTCTCTCGCCACTAGATGAATCAAGTTTGGATTGGTGTTTTGTCTTATATATAATCAATCTCTCAAATGCCAACGGATTTGCTGTTTGTGCGTCTCTTTTGGATTTAGGAAGGAGTACGAGTCCTGTTTTGTTTATATTTAATATGAAGTATGTTCTAACTAACAACTAGATTTAGCATTTACTATTTTATAATAGAGATAGATGAGAAACATTACATTGCGTGGTGGTTACGAAGTGTGCTTCCAACCCATCATGTTATATGGACATATACATGTGTATATATATATAGAGAGAAATGCGACTTTGTATGATATACTACTATATTAAAAATGCATATATATTATTCAATGGTAACATCGATAATTGTTGCAAAAAAATGTTATTTTCAGATATTCCTCGTATAATCGTCAATTTACATTTCAAGCATAATTAAACGTGAAGAAAATAAGCCTTTACAAGGAAGAAGAAGACAACGATGAAAAACCAATCTCGATTTTACAAACGACAATACACAAGTTTCCCTCTATATATATATATATATATAAAGGGCCGAAAGGAAAAAGAAATCGCCCAAGGATAAAGAGGTGACGCAACTCTTTCGTCTTGTAAAAAATTTTTTTACTTTACTAGAGAAGAGAGGAGAACTGTACAGAAATATACAAACCAATTGTTTCTATAAAACACCCAGAGAGAGAAGGGCTATAGAGAAGAAGGATCAGATGCTGAAGGAGAAGAGGTTCCGCTCGGAGGTTGAGGCGGGGCAGTGAGGGCATAAGTTAGTCTCGACGAGCTCTCTATAAGACCAGCGACTCCGGCTGCTGATTGAGCGCTCGAGGGGAGGAAGAGATCGTGTTTTTGGTCTTTGTACGCACCCCAAACCTGTGAACATTATATAGACTCAGTCGAGTTCGATTCACATAGCCTTAGCCATAGATCCCCTAGGAAGGACCATTCCGAGAAGTTTAGTCGATTATGGCAATATGTCTATTTTTCAACATATCCTATTTGAGGGGCAAATTCCTTGTTTTCAATAAGACGATCAGGAAAAAGGAGGTTAAACACACTTCGAACTGTGTTCAATGGATCCCCAAACTCCGTAAATTTGGGGAAAATGCCTCGATAGATCCATAGGATCTATCACCCAGTTTGGTAAGATTTTGTGTTATGAACCCCTAAAAGGCAACTTCTTGGTATTTAGACAAAAGCTTGGTAAGAAGAATCAGAAACCAATGTTGCAGAGGTTTACTTACTTCCGAAGCATCCAATATCTCACGGACTTTGGAACAATGTGCACCTTCTGTTGCGAAGGCGTGCAAAACCTAGGATTGAATCAGAACATGCAACGAAAACGTCCATCTTTAGCATTCCGCGGAAGAATCGTGAAGTAAGACGGTGATCAATTCACATATGAAATTACCTCAATTGCAAGCACGCGGCCGATTGATGCTTCCGATTCATTCCATTTCATCTGCGAACAAAGCCCGTTTCTTCCGCCAGTCCTCCAGTCAAGAAGGCCAAGCAAAACTTCGACAAGACCAACTCTGCGTATATACAATACATCAAACCTTTAGAATATGTATCATAAACATAAGATAAGCCTACTAGATAGAATTTCCTAAAACTGGATCAAAGACAATAAAAAGGACGTGATTCAATTGTGTTACATTTTCATCAAAAGCTAAATTTTCTGAAGATTAAAAAATAGACGTTTAGATCAGATTAAACAAAATGGTTATTCAAATCCATGGAACAGCTTGTTGAGATCACAGAGCATGAATAAAAAGTAATAGAATGGCTCACTTAAGTCCCTGAGCAACAAGGGCATCTCTTGCCCGATTGCCAGCAACAACGACACGTTTAAGTGTCTCAAGTGCTAAAATGCTCCCACCTTGCCATCCTATTGCTTTCATGAGAAGTGGAACAACCTGATTGTCAATCAACCAGGAACAGGAAAGTTAGGGCAAAACATGCGAATTAACCTGTGGCAGTAAAAGGGGAAAAAAGACGGAATAAAACCTGTGGGGTCCCAACACTAGTTGCAGCCATTGCTTCTGCACATGTTGTACTAGCAGCAAGTTGATGCAAAACACGTAAACAACTAAGGCGGACACGTTCTTGTGGGGTTTGTACAGGCGGGCTTGAGCCGTCATCAGTGTCATGCACTGTGTCGGAAGCAACTTCTTCTGCCCTGACTTCACCTGCAGACATTGTTTCCCGCCTTCCCTCATACGCCACTGCAGCCACAAGTTTGGGGACATAGCCGAGATATCCGACATGGTCTGCAAGTGTGGGATGAACACGTAACAAAGAAACCAATGCAGCAGAAAGAAGTAAAGGGAGCTCAGGGTCAACAGGATATGTTTCATAATGTGTTGCCGCTATTGCTGACAAATACTGGTCCAGCAGTCCTTCCAAGAATCTTTTTGGATTTCTCAGAGGAAATTTCGGATCTTTCAAGAAAAGCCTCACATAGATTCCCCCAACCTACCAAAAAGAAGCACCATTACAAGTTATTCACTCATTCAGTGAAAGTGTGATATGAATTGTATAGAGGTTTAAAATACCTGTGGCTCATCTCTCATATCTTGTTGACCAGATGGCTGCTCAGGCACATCCCATTCAAAAACACGGCCTTTCTGTTGTTCACGATACAGATCCGACGCCATGGTTGCGATTTGTGCAGACAAAGATGCTGCCATTGCTGGAGTCCATACAAGTTCTGGAGTCTCTGTCGTCAGATCCAGTGCATGTACAACAGTCTCACCAGGTCCATCACGAATGATAGATACAAGACCATCTGGAAGGAACCTCGCAAGTGTTATAGCCACTCTAGGCCCATGCATTGGTTGCCCGACAAGCTTCCCCAACAAAGATGCTGCCGCAGCCCTTTGTTGCAACGGAATTTCTTCTGCACATGTGCAGTTTCTGTCATTGATGCCATTACTTGAAACAAACGCAAAATCCAGCAGAGAAGAAAATGACTCAAGGATTATTACTTTCTAAAGGTAATAGAAGTTCCAGAATGTACACCACCCCGCCAAGCTTGGCAGCAGCCCAAGCAAGTTCTGGTGTGCTAGCCAAAGCATAAAGAACATGAAGAGCACCCTCACGAAATGCTGGAGCAGAATGAAGCATTTGTAATAGGAGGAGAAGACTTGATCCATCAGAAACCATTGTCTCCAAGCAAGGAGCATAAGCAGTCAGCCGAGACAGGACATTCAAGCAGAGTTGTGGAATATCAGTTCTCGATGCAATAGGCACCGAAAAACATTCAAAGAGAGGCAACAATTTATCTTTGGATGAAAATACAGCTGCTAGATTCGGATCTTTCGTCAATATGTTCTGCACAGAAGGCAAAGAAAAAGGTCAGATATTTCGAATTTTTATTAATCATGTGGGTTCTTATGCGCTGTAAAAAGCACCTGAAGAGCAGTCAATCCTAATCGAAGGTTCTTAATCGGATGACTTTCTTCGTTCTTCACCCCGTTGGATGATGATTCATGACAAGAAAGGTCTTCATTCATTGACGTACTTGCTACATCACTTTGAAGCTCTGAACTCTCATGAGATGAGTCATTGTTTTCCATTTTATCTTGATCCTCAGAATTCGAGGCAAATTCAGCATGCACTAGAGATGATATAAATCCAACCAAAGCATTGCAAAACGCTTCTGGTTCGGTTATCTCAGAGTCTGGCTGATCATTATAAACCCTCAAGTAAACATTGCCAACATAGACCTCTTTTGACAGAGCCTCATACACAAAAGAGTGCGCAGATTCCAGATCATATGAACCATCAGGACCCTGGCAGGTACGTTGCTCATCCACAAATTTCAACAGCTCTGACCGAGTGGTAGAGTTCCAAATAATCTGAAAAGCGAGTATTTGATGCAATTAACACATTGTGAACTTCAAATAAGCTTATCAACCACAAAACTCATGTAAACGGCCAAGAATGTATCTGGTAATTCCTCAGAATTGAGACCTAACATGTACGGAAATATGTGAATTTCAAATATGTTCATCGACCATCTTCCAATACAGTTTCCCGTAGGCTATTAGTTACTCCAGTTCAATATTCTCATGCACATACGGCGGAGAAAAGAGTAGTGAATGATAGTAGCATACCTCTGGTGTCTCCAAATTCGTGTTTAGTTTGGACAACAAGTCTTTACAAACTTGCTCTTTTAACAAACTAGCAAGCTTTGGAGTTAGCATAGCTCTGAGACCATTGGCCGCATCTGCATTGTAAGGTATGGAACCCTCATCTGCACACAGTCCACTAAGCCTTGATAGAGCATGTGATGCCCGTACAGCATGCATATTCTTAGCAATTTGGACACTAGCACCAACACCAGGAGACTCAACGGTATCAGGTGCTTCTGCAGTAGAGTCATACTGTAATAACAATGGGAGAATGTACCTAAACAAGTAGGAGTCACAGATCAAAAACAGTAGTCATAAGCTGCACTGTCAGACCAGTAAATCTCCACCAAAAGTCCCCATGAAACGGAGACAAAATATAACTCAGAGATTGTTCTAAAGTCCATTAGATTGTCATTCCTCTGCCGTAATAAACGTTACTGTCCAGAGTTATTTGAGTTCTCAGAATTTTAAGCACGCCAGATATTATGTCAAATTACTTGAAATGAGAGAGATCATGTAACCGTCCCAGCCAAACAAAAGAAACAAGATAGCAGAGAAATACGCTGACTTACCACAAGGCACCAGCCCTTAGCAAAGCTTGTTGGAGTTGTGGGGACACAGAAACTTTAGCAATAGTCTGAAGAGCAGCATCAACAGCTGCAGGCACAAGTTCTAGTTCCGTAGAGTGCACAATGTCCTCAATCAGACCAGAGAACTCTAGTATCTCAGCCCTTGCACTTTCAAACTGACTTATTACAGAAAATGTACGCATTACGTTTGTGACAATGATAGCAGCAGGTTCAGTTGCCAGGGTTGCCGGCTGAACCACACCCATACAGCGGGAAAGAAGAGCTGCAAGAAGCTGCACGCCGCCATCTCTCACTAGTTCTTCACCATTCAATGAAGAAGAGGCGCAGCTGTTGCAGTAACAAACGATAAAATAAATAAATAAAACGACAACACCAAAGGAAAAAAAAGAATAGCAAGATCACAATCTAGCAGGAAAGATAAATACGTTAGCCAAACAAGTTCTGATGCTGCGACAAGGAGAGGGGCTCTATCTGAAGACAGGAAATTGTTGTCATCCTTGTCCACTGTCACTGCATTAAGTAACATTGGGTAGCCGGCATATTTGAAAGGCTGCAACACATCTCCATAACGTCTATATAAGATGCACTGTCCTTTCAGTAAAAGCAGCAATCTCCAAGGCTGAGGGCCTTGTAATCCTTGCATTGTTGCCTATCAGCAGGAGACATAACTTCCACAATGCTCTGGTTCGAGCTCGAGCAGATGTTGTCCAGCCACTTTAGCAAGATCTATGTTCCCATGGAGGCGAGAAGATGCCAACAATGTTCTCCAGACCACGGGATTCGCTTCCACAGGCATCGTTATGGCTAAATCGTATGCTTCCTTGAGCCTTCCCGCTCGACCAAGCATGTCAATAACGCATGCGTAGTGTTCAATGGTCGGGACGACGCCGTAAACTGAATCCATTTGACAGTTCGTGGTTACAGAGTTCAGTCAAGAATGATCGTTCTGAAAGTTTGAAAGACAAAATAAAAGATTGTTTTTTATTTTGTCCCAGATATAGCAGAAGAATTTGCATGAACTACGAGGTACATGAAACATCAATTTTTTTCCCAAATGGAAGCACCAACCAAGAGAGATGGAAACAATTATCTTCCTACAGACCCAGAAAACAGAAAAATCAACGAAGAGAAAAGCAACTACTACAATTACCACTATATAGCATCCCATTTCGATTTACTTGAACAGGGAAACATCCGTAATGCACTCAGGATATATGCGCTCCAAATTTGGCACATAACCACAATATCAAATGTTTCCAAGGAAACAGGCAAGATGCTGGACATATAATTAAAAGATTAGAAGAAAAACCAGATCTACCTGAAGGCGTTCGTAAGCTTTTTGAACAGCAAGAAACTTTTCTCTGCCTTCTGGATTCTTGTCAGGATGGTATCTCATTGCAAACTTCCTATACTGACGCTTCAACTTCTCTTCATCAATGTTTTGAATCTGTGTGGTTATATTAGGTATGTCCTCATTCAACTCAAATGAACTTCTGTTTGTATCATCGCTTGATACATCATTCAACGATATTTCCAGTATTTTGCACGCTTCTTCTTCAGAAAGATCCATAGGCTTCCTTGTTAACTCCTCACGCCACATCACAAGTAATGATTGTAGAAACTCGACATGTTCAACAATCGGCCAGTTTGGAAATCGAATCTCATCACATAAGTTCCGAAGATAGTAACGATGACACCACATCTCATCTCTGAGTTCTGGATATGTAACAGGTGGAATGGGGGCATAATCATACAAACAGTGGCAGTGCTGTGACAATTTCTGAGGGAAGTCTCCAAGATGCTGCAAAACCTGAGGAGATAAAGAAAAAAAGGTGAAAATCGATGATAGAATGATAGTCCACAAATTATCACAAAAACAAAGCAACCCGAACCTAAGATAGTTAAAGAAAGATCAACAAGTGCTGTACTTATGGGAAAGCGATAAAGTAAAATCTAATTGGAGAGTACGTACCTGACAGATAAGATTTTCTGCTCTCATTTTGTATGTCCATATAATCTCCGGAGTATCAGAATCAGAAACCATAGCAGCTGCAAATGCAGCTGGGCCACTTCGCTCTAACACATATAATAAGGACTCTGGGAGAAGCCCACCCAAGACGCTTCGTTTAGCCAGGGGCAAAGAGGCAGAAACAGCGGCTTCTTCCCCGCCATGAAAGGCTTGTTGCAAATGGGTCACTGAGAATAGTTGTGCAATTGAGTAGAGATTGGATCCAGGGTAAGAAAGGGCAAAGAAAAATGTGCCCGTGCTATACAGGCGCATCATGGCTTTGGGATTTCTTGTAACAACATCTTTCAGAAGAGCAGCAGCAGCTTCCACAATACTTGGTTCACCAGAGAGCATTGCCTTTTCCCCATTTTAGAAGAAAATACAATTAGCACAATAATGAGTTTCAAAATTTTCAGAAAAGGAAGAAAGACATTTCACTGTTTAACATTCAGTTGCCAAATAAGGAAAATGCATGAACATGGATCTAACACTAAGAGAAAATTGTTCTGCTAAATCTTATTCCCTAATATGATGAGGAAAGACAAAAAAAAAAGGAAAAATAATATGAATTCCTATGTCTCAACTAAACACATCTTGAACTAAGCCAGGCATGAAAAAAGAAGAAAAATGAAGGGAAGAAAATATGCATTACCTGAGCAATATGCGGGAGACAACGTGGGCTAGACAAGATCCTTTTTACTCTTGGTGTTGGAGTAACAATTTCTCCAGCATCATCTAGATCTGAATGCGCTGAAACCATGCTATGCAATATAGACAATGCTGCATCCCCTACCTGAATAGGGTTTTGTGCTTATTAGGATTAATATTGCAAAAAGAACAAGCAATAATGCATATGAAGTGGAGAAATAAGACTGGCGGGACTAAAATATAAACAACGAAGATTCTGTTCAGAAAAAACGTGATTGTAAAAATCAAGTGTAGAATATGCGAAATAAAATATGCAAAAACCCATAAGTGAAGCCATACACACACCTGTGTAGGTGTGAGGACTGGAACTCGAGCAGCTACTGCCCATCTAAGTTCACGTATATCTCGTAATTTCTTCCAGTCTGGCATCCCAAAAGCTCGACACTTAGTGGTCCAGTCAATATCCTTTTTGGACCATAATCTTCTGATGGCATCCTTCTGTACAGGTCCAACTTCTGCACCATCCTTGTCAATGTACATCCATTCCTTAAGTGGTTCCATGAAAGCTGTAGCAGCGATCAAGTTTGACTGTAATGGAATAGGAGTCCTTTCTGAGTTTTCGTGAACAACTGTCAGCAGATCTACAGCTAGAACACAACCACCAACCAAAACACAATCTTCCACATTTGACAAAACCTGCATTAGGACCTGCATGAATCAGATAAAAAAAAAATTAAAACATGAAAGATATATATACATATATATTTATATTTGCACTTTGGATAGCATGAACGCAAACTATACATACAATATAACATATGGACTTAAACAATAACCAGACCAAACACAAAGCGCAGGAAAATAATTTGTCCACAATCAGCTACCATACTTTTACGGAAAATTGTGATATTTAATATCTAATGGTACCTTCAAGAGAAGGAGCAGACGATGCCTCAAAGCTCTATCATCTGTCCTATCCAACAGAACTGTAATATGAGCAGTGCCTTCAAAAGGGCCTATTGTGTTGTGGTGTTGCTCATACACAATGGACATTGCCCTTGCGCAAAGCTCCCTAACAGAAGATCCTCCCCCTCCGCCAAAACCATCTAGCCGAGCCATATCACACCAATCATCAGATGAACCCAACTCATCCGGAACAGCACCATCAACGGTAAGCCCCATATCAGCATCACATAGGAAGCGATGATAGAGTGCCCTGAAAAAGGCAACTGGATCACGGAGAGGAAAATCTTGTGCCCTGCTAATGCTCCCACTTTCAAGCAATAAACGTAGATAATATTGACCCACACAAACTTCTTTTGACAAGCTGGGATAACGAACAAAGAACTCCGGATAATTCCAAGATATTCGTGGGACACTCTCTTGGCCAGTCATGTTCTCATCAGATGGATGTCCTGGAGCAATATCTTCGGTGCGCTCTTTCTCAACGTCAAGGTTGTGAACCTCCGCCTGTAAAGCTTCCCTTAACTCTTGCCTTGTGCGCTCGTTCCAGATAAGATCTGCACGATTGTGATCAAGGCTAAAGGCTCGCCAAAACTCACGCCAATTAAGAAGCAACCTTCCCGAACCTACTGGAGTATTTTCCACAACAACCTGAGCAGGCGCTGGAAGCATCGGGTTCTGGAAACCAGCCAAGTATGAATCAGAATTAATCACATTGGATGCTTTTGTTTCAGAATGTTCGTGCTCATTTGTTTTAGCAATAGTTGAAACAAATGCCGAATGACCATTTTGTGAAATCCCTGAGGGAGTAACATCATCACCCAGAGACGCAGAAGCCTGAAAGCTTGAACCTTGAGAGGAAGAAGTTGCAGCAGGCCGTTGAAAGTTATCTGAACCCCTATAAGCATTTGCACTCATTTGTTTTGCCACATCACTAGTCTCAAGATTGTTATCAAAGGGCGAAGGAAGCTCTTGGGCAGCCACTCCTCTTGCCACACGACCTCTTCTTTGCTGAAGTAATCTTTTGTGTCTCCTGCTAGTCAATGATCCTTCTTCATTTAAATCATGAAGGGCATCATCAGGACGAGTATGCAAATATGCAACAAGTCCAGGCGGCAGAACTCGTGACAATAAATCCAAAGCTGGTTGATAGGAATCTGCCCAAAGTGCCACAAGCTGCCGACTAACCTCACGGCGCTCACCAGCAGGAAGGAAAAAAGCATGCAATAAATGTCTTAACAAAGCACCATCACGTAAAGAAGCATCACGCATTGATTCTGCAGCAATTGCGTCTTCTTCAGCTATTGTGCGCATTATCACGGCAATGGTTTCCCTAACACTTTCAGCAGGCATCTTTCAGAAGAGCAGCAGCAGCTTCCACAATACTTGGG